TTCCCTACATCATTTCCTCCTTTCTTTTGTAAGCATTCTTCCTCAGTAGTATAATAAACAGTAAGCATGGATTAAACACACCCATAAGATAGATAAGTAGAGTGGATACCATAACGTATTGTCGGCGTGTGGGGTGCTAATACTTTCCCTTTGTATAACAGACTCCCTTACCCTATCTCTCAGTCGCAAGACCGTGACTTGTCCTATTTCAGGTTTTCTCGATGTTTACCTTTCTCTTCATGTGGGTTAAAATATTTTCGATGGTGACTTCAGTGTCTGGTGATTTTAGCCGATTGTTTCAAGACCTACGAGTGATCTACCAAAAACTAGGCCTACGGGCGATCTTCGAGGAAATCTAGATCTACATGCGATCTAAAACCCTAAGGTAAGACCTATGGGCGATCTACCAAAAAAATAGGCCTACGAGCGACCTACGAGGAAATCTAGATCTACGAATGATCTAAAATCCTAAGGTAAGACCTACGGGAGATCTACCAAAAAACTAGGCCTACGGGCGACCTACAAGGAAACCTATATCTATGGGTGATCTAAAATCCGAAGGTAAGACTTACAGGCGATCTACCAAAAACTAGGCATGCGGACGACCTACAAGGAAATATAGATCTTCGGGCTATCTGAAATCCTAAAGCGAGACCTACGGACGATTTGCTAAAAACTAGGCCTTCGGGTGACCTACAAGGAAATCTATATCTTCGGGCTATCTAAAATCCTAAAGCGAGACCTACGGGCGATTTGCTAGAAACTAAGCCTACAGGCAACCTACAAGGAAATCTATATCTACGGGCGATCTAAAATCCTAAGGTAAGACCTATGGGAGATCTATCGGAGAACTAGGTCTATGGGCGACCTCGTGATTCTAGGAAGATACCTATGGGCGATCTGCTGAAGAACTAGGCCTAAGGGTGACCTCAGAATTCTAAAACAAGATCGATAGGGAGAACTAGGCCTACGGGCAACATGAGGGTTCTAAGATAAAACCTCATCTACTGGAGAACTAGGCCTACGGGCGACCTCGAGATTCTAAGATGATACATAAGGGTGATCTATCGGAGAACTAGGCCTATGAGCGACCTCGGGATTCTACGAAGATACCTATGGGCGACCTGCTGAAGAACTAGGCCTAAGGGCGACCTCAGAATTCTAAAACAAGATCTATAGGGAGAACTAGGCCAACGGGCGACCTCAGGGTTCTAAGATGAAACCTCATCTGCTGGAGAACTAGGCCTATGGGTGACCTCAGGATTCTACGATGAGACATCAAGGCGACCTGTCAGAGAACTAGGCCTATGGGCGACCTCAGAATTCTACGAAGATACCTGTGGGCGATCTACTGAAGAACTAGGCCTAAAGGCGATGTCAAAATTCTAAAACAAGATCTATATGGAGAACTAGGCCTACGAGCGACCTCGGGGTTCTAAGATGAAACCTCATCTACTGGGAACTAGGCCTATGGGCAACCTCATGATTCTATGATGAGACATCAAGGCGATCTATCGGAGAACTAGGCTTATGGGCGACCTCAGAATTCTACGAAGATACCTGTGGGCGATCTACTGAAGAACTAGGCCTAAAGGCGACCTCAAAATTCTAAAACAAGATCTATAGGGAGAACTAGGCCTACGGGCGAGCTTAGGGTTCTAAGATGAAACCTCATCTACAAGAGAACTAGGCCTATGGGTGACCTCAGGATTCTACGATGAGACATCAAGGCGATCTGTCGAATAACTAGGCCTATGGGCGACCTCGGGATTCTACAAAGATACCTATGGGCGATCTGCTAAAGAATAAGGCCTAAGGGCGACCTCAGAATTCTAAAACAATATATATAGGGAGAACTAGGCCTATGGGCGACCTCAGGGTTCTACGACAAAAATATTGGTTACGACATGACGAGTGAAGGTACAAGGGACGACTAACTGTACTGATTTTATTGGGATCTGGAGGAAAAATAGACACGGGCAAGTATTTGGAAAAGCTGACACGAACGAGTGTTTAAAAAATTGAGATGGACGAGTGTTTGGGAAACTGACACAGACGAGTGTTTAGAAAACTGACGCGGACGAGTGTATGGAAGTACAATGTAGTGACATCGCTAGCTGGATATCATGATGTAACGAAGGACGTCAACTGAAGGTTTAGGAGTGATATCCTCTTGTGGGGATGTATTGCTGTCTTTGAATGATTTAGGTCTTTCGTGTAAGGTACCCGATCTGGCTTATGCTTTTCATGCATGTTTGAATTTCTTTTGCCACAAAGATCCATTCTGATGGATCAGCTACGCGCTTTTACAAATGCAATGTTATATAGTGATAACTATATGCAATGCAAAGAAATATCAGTGCTGGAAACTGTTGGGAACGGTTGCTCATCACCGGGGATGCCAATACACATCGACACTGAAAACTTACGATACCAAGGATCACTAATCACTAGGGATATTGATAAGAATTTGCACTAGGGAGCTCATGATACCTAAGATTATTGGTGACTCCACTGAAGATTGAATTGCTGACGAAGCGAGTTTTCAGGTACGCCACTGAACTCTGAATTGTATTGTTGGGGAAAGAGATAATGTGGCCCGACTTCCCTACACCCTTAACCACTTGGAGGATGGTAGAATTGAATATGCCGGGGAACGGATACTAAACACCATGTGGATCTCTTAGAATACATGTCCCAAGTTTACGCCACACTAGGGAATTACCTCTTAAATCACTTGGGGCTAAAAAGATGGATATGGACACCTGCGAATGCCCCGATTTAGCTCTGTGAATGCCCTGGTTTATCCCTCGGGGGGTATGCACTTTTGCGTGTCAAGTCAAACGGCGACTTTGAACTTTCTGAATTCACTTAGGGAATCAGGTTTGAAATTGTTTGTAGCAGATGAAGGGGGCTTCACGTGTTGGCCAGGTCGGGGTGACCGTTATGATGCTTTTAGTTTGATTGTAGTCGTCTCGTACAACATAATTGGCTTGAGCAGCTTTACAAGATTGGAGGGGGAATTCCCCTGTCTGGAGGATCTCTGAGAGTAACAATGTTGAATGGAAGACTAGAATATCCGTGGCACAATATGAAATGAGGTGGCCTGCCCTAATCTCTTGAGTCACAAAATAAACTGCTCTTAATCACAACTTTCTTGGAGAGATTCGTCGAATCTCGACGTGACTGCCCCAGGTTGAATGAGTTCTGAATAGATTGCCCCAGGTTGAGTGAATTCTGAATAAATTTCTCGACGTGATGGACTCGGATTGATGGAAACTTGAGATTTATCGATGTGATGGCCTCTGATTGGGTATAGCTCGAAGCGATTTATTAACTTGATAGCCTCTGATTTGACTGAACTCTTACTTACGAAATATTCTCATGTTGGTCTTCTTTTACTCAACCGAGTCACTAAAAATTCTGCCCCAAAATAAGAAGATCATTCTTTAAGATGATTTGCTTTTCGATAGATTTCTGAAGCGATTTGTCCCTTGGGATAATCAAGTTTTCATTTGATGCTCATCATGCAAGCTTACTTGATGTTTAAGCACTTTTTCATATGCAAAGAATGTTTCTCTAAGAATGATAATTCTAATGCAAATCATATGCTTGTCTTGAGCTTAAAAAATGTTTATTGAAAAGATGTCGAAACATCGAGTTTTTTCTTGTGCGAAAGAAAATAAAAAGATGGAGTGATACCAACTCAAAAGTTTTACCAAGCCTCGTAGGAGTCAGATTACAGTATTCTCGTTACAATATTGCTTCGAATTAACCCATGCTTCAGTTAGGACTTTTAAGGGTTATAACCGGCCTGGTTCACGGTTTTATTAAAAAAAAATTAAGGCTCAAAATTATTTAGTGCGCACCCCTTATCCATGATGTTCTCGATTCCTATGTTCAGTTAACCTGAAACAAGCATTTATCTCTCAAGAGGAGTTTACAATAATTAAGGAACCATTGAGACTTCTTGTAATTTTTATTTTTAAATTTGAAATTTTTTATGAAAAATATAATCATTTTTGTTTTAGATCTGCAAATTTTCAAATCTATTTTCCCACATATTTACTTTTAAATTTCAGATATCTTGTATCTGAAATTTGAATTTGAAAAATGATGAGATAAATCTATATAAAAAATTGAATTTGAAAATTAAATCCACGGAACAACAGATTTTGGATTTTACTCTATTGCGATGTATTTTTTTTTCAACTGAAAAAGTCGTCTAATTATTATTAATTGAAATTTTTTTCTACTCCTTGGATCATAAAAGAATACAAAAATAAATCCAAAAGATGAAAAAGACATTGATTGTGAAAAATATATAAGAGAAACTATAAAATTACAATGTTAATGCGGAGAAAAATCTATAAAATTTAACAATAAAAAAGATAAAATTAAGTAAAAAAGTTGATAAACCAAAAAATATCATATTGCTTAAAAGTCAAAGTCAATAGTGGTTTATATAAAACACACTTTTCAACCTATCGAGACGTCTTTTCAGAAAAACAAAATCGTAACAGATTCTCTCACCTATCGAGACATCTTTTCAAAAAAAACAAAATCGTAATAGATTCCCGCACCAAAAACGCACAATGCCTACTAGACAAGTGGTTTGTAAACTTGAGGCATTTCAAAACATTGGCACTAAAGTTGAGTATCTTTAGATTGACGGTAGATAGAATTGATTCTAGCATAATCGAGTTTGGTATAATTGATTCTAGCAGAATTGAATTTGACATAATTGATTTATGTTTGGACATATTTATATAAAAGTGAGTTGAATAATAAATTTCAGTGTAAAATCATTCAGAATCAATTCTGAAAGCAAAAAAACTGCAAATTCTAGCTTTAAATAGAATCAATTCTGAAGGCAAAATCAATTTTATTTTTGATAAACTAAACACCTCAAAATTATCCAAAATCAATCTTACCTATAATGGATTCCCAAATCCAAAACGAACAATACCTCGTAGATGTAGATGCAGTGGTTAGTGAATTTAAGAATTGAAAAAAAAAAGTTTTTCTCCATCAATGTCTAGTGTCTCTTTGGAAAGTAACCTACAATTAAAAAGAATATAAATCCATAAACTAACTGAAACCTTCAAATTGATAACAAAAACAAGCCTCAAACTCTCAAATTAAGCGATTCTTTCGCTTAGATTTGCATACTGCTGTCCAACATATTGAATCACCAAGTTAAAATACAGCAAAATTTATGAACCAACTAATCTTGTTCTACATAAAACCAACTTGCTGATAAATTTGTAATATGATTATTCCCTGATCCAATGATTAAAAAAAGGAGAAACTACGGTGTATGAGACACTAAATACTTCGAGACCTAGTAGTCTTACTCGGAAATCTGTCTATTTGTGTCCGGCAAAGATTCGACAGAGCGTTTACCACCAATTAAGTGATGAAGAAGCACACCTGCTGCTACACTAACGTTTAAGCTTTCCACAGCCAAAAATGAAAGAAACTCTTTACCAGCGCTCTCGCTATTTAAACCGGTACTTTCACCTTCTAGTTCACTAGTACATGAGTCTAGAGGAATATTACCAGCAATTTTAACCAACTGAGTACATGATCTCTCCACCAAAGGCCTCAAACCAGTGCCTTCACTGCCCAAAACAATAATAGTCGGCGGACCAGGTTCGATCTCATTCAACGAAACTGCTTTAGAGGAGACAGATCCTCCGAGAACTCGCCAACCGTTTTCGGCCGAAGACACTAAGAACTGCATCATGTTCTTGCAATATCTAAGTTCCATTAACTCAAGTGATCCTGCACTTGCTTTGCTCACGACACCGCTCAATGGAGCTGAATTCTTCGCACATAAAACTATCCCGGAAGCTCCAAAAAAATACGAAGACCTTATAATTGCACCCAAATTCTGAGGATCGGTAACCTCGTCCAAAGCTACCCAAAGAGAACCCTTGCCTTCCTCAATAGAAAAAGGTTCCAATTCCTGTATTCTCACCATCTCAAGTGGCGAAGCATCTAATACCAAACCTTGATGAGGTCGGTTGTCCGCCACCATATTCAGATCATGCTTAGATGCTTCTTTTATGCTTAAATTGAGGTTTTCAGCCATCTTAAGAACCCTCTCAAACCCTTTCTTGTCTTTCTTTTTCCTATTGTTGCTACTCAAATCCAACCCTTGTTGCACATACAATGCATAGAATTCCCTTCTTCCAGCTGACAAAGCAGCCAAAACTGGACCAACCCCATAGATTCCTTCACCAACAACCTTAGGCACGGTCGATTCAGTAGCCTCTCTCCATGTCTTTCTACCCCAATTCTCATTACTATCCCATCTTCGATATTCAGGTCTTTCCGATCCACCTTGGAACCTATTCCTTATGTTATCCCACCTTGGATCATCAACACCCTCCTCCTCCATGTTCTCCCCATCCTCCATTTCATCATCAATTCTTTCATCAACGTTATCATCCATTCTTTCTTCAACATTATCATCAAATTTACCATATGTTTTAGAGAGTGTGTTGCTAGCACTCCTCTTATCATCAAATTTACCATACCTATTAGACGGCCTGTTGCTAGCACTCCTCTTATCATCAAATTTGCCATACCTACTAGAGGGCTTGTTGCTAGCACTCCTCTTATCATCAAATCTACCATATCTACTACCACCATCACTTCTACGCTCTCTCGCCTTCTCGACAAACCCATTTTTCTTTTCCTTACCCAAATCACCCCCTTTCACAGAAAAAGCCGAATCCCGCGAACTCGGCTTAAATTCTGGTCTTGTTGTTTTCTCTAACATATCAACTGATTGCTCCCAAGAGGACTTAACACTCACATTCTTCACAGAATGCTCCTGAACAGAACTTCTAACATTGATCCTTTTTGCTTTCTCCACCACTCTACTTTCCTTAACTCCGTCCACTTCTAGCCAAGGAAGTTCCTTTTCGGCAATTCTCGCGCCACAGTATCTTCTAGCAATCTGTAGCATCAACCCATATGGATTTAACGGTTTTCCCATTTCAAAGATTCGAAATTTACATCTGGGGTTTGTAAAGATTGATTTTTTATGGCAAGAAAGAGGCGAAAATTGGGTGTTAGCAGTGGGGAGTGAAGTGAAGCATCTGGGTTGTGAAGATATTTTAGATGCAAGAGGAAAAGCTTGGGTTTTGGAGATATTGGTATACATTGAAATAGCAGAAGAAGTGAAGAATTGTGAAGTGGTTGAAAGGGAAAACCAGAGAAGAATATCAAATATTGATGGAGTAGATTAAGGAAGAAGAAATGTGGGAGTTTTCAGAGTACAGTGAAAAAATCTTATCCTACCAGGGTTTCATTCAACTGAAATTAGGGCATTTTAGATTATTTCAGATGGGACTGACTAAAACGACTTCGTTTCATATTCTCTAATATTACTAGCAAATAAATAATAAATTTCTCAATACATATCAATTTTGATTTGAAATTCGGTTCTATAAATTTTGGTGCTCATTAAAAAACAAATCACATCTTGAAATCGACCATTTTATGGCTTTTTGAATATTTTAGACACTTTGTTTTAAACTTAGATTTTGTTTAAGAGTTATATGAACAAAATTATAAATTTAAGTTTCTTAAATATATGGCATCTTTGTAAAAACATTCCAATTTAAACTCGATTGCACAAAAAGTGAAAATATCTCTATTTTTTAAAGAGAAAATAGAATATGTATTAACAGTATAAAATATTTTTCAAAAACCTCCTTTGATGCACCTTTGTCGTCATCAAGAGTAAGTTGAGCGAGTCTAGGACTTTCGACACCTATTTCTGTGTTAGGCGGAACGTTGATTTTAGAGAAGGTTTGAAAGTAACATTAAGCCATAATTACAGGAGCCAAATGGGGTTGCCTACCTGGAGAATTTCAGGATTTTTTTCTTTGTTTTAGGTCACAAGATGCTAACCCCAAAGATTCATAAAGGCCACACAAAACTAGTTTCCTGAGGCAAACATTCCTCTTCTCATGAAGCTGGGTGGCTAGAGGGGCGAAGTATTTAGCCACTTGGATGGAATGGGAGCAAAAAACATATCGGGAAAGCGAATAAGTGGGGAAGGCTATGTGTTCGTGATCTTCCACAATCTTCGTCGAAGCATAATGCTCTTCGATGAATGTGTTGTAAGCAGTTTTGTCAAAGTCAAATGCAAGTTTGGTCTTGGTAGGGGTTTAGGTCTCAAAAATTTCTCCAGTTGGTCGAAGACCAACAATATCAGCAAGATCGAAAAGTGTGTGAATTATCATCCCAGAATGCAGGTGAAAAGGTATTAATGGTGATTTCCCAGAAGCACATGGCTACAAGGAGCATATGTGAGTTATACCTAGGACTAACTCTTGAAAGTTATACCAGGTCGAAGATGCATTGGTCTTGCCATATGTATTTTTTTTCTTCTCAACCTTGTTCAATCACTTAATGAACTTGAGGTCGTAACATATAACAAAAGATGACTTAAAAACCATATTCTTCAAGAAGCTAAAATCAAAAGGTTGGGGAAGAAAGACTTCAGGACGTAAGGTTTCTTAATACACCTAATAAAAGGACCCATAAAAGCATAATTAGTACCTGAAATGGAGTAGGATATCAGCGCGTCAGAATACCATAAATTTTCTTTTCTCATCCTCCATGGAAAGTTCTGAGACGTAGGTGCGATCATCCAAGAAAAGGGCTCTTCAATGCGAAAAGCAAAATGAGTATGTGGAACGTTGCTAGGTGCACTTTTAGGAGCCATTGTCAGTTTCTCATAGGTTTTAGGAAGAAAAATAAGTAGAAGAGTCAACAAAAGTGGCAGGAAAAAAACTCTGGTGTTTTTGCTTTTAGTGAATGAAATGGCGAAGGAGAAGAAAAGTTGAAGAAAAAAGTGTTTAAATAGCTAAAAGGAGAAGGAATGGTTTCAGTTTTCCTTCCAAAGTTTGGACAAATGACATTTCCAAATCGACAAATGGCTCACCAACTTATGGGGAAAAGTTAAATTAAAAGAATTTCTTTTAATTATATTTAATTTAATGACTCATTAATCTCCTTGGAAACCAAAGATAATGATTATCAATTGTACGCACGTTTGTGACTTAACAGTTTGGTGAAAAGTGGTCATGATGATCATGCCATGTACAAGCTACCTTAATAGTGTCGAGCAGTCACAAAAAACAATGTTTTTCTTCCATCTGAAACATATGATCGAAAAAGGCATTTTTGTGGGGCGTTTATTACCCTGGAAATTCCAGCTAAAAAATCAATAAAGAATGCTAGAAAGTCAATGAATAGTCCTAGTTAATTACGTTTAAACGTGGTAAGTATTAAGAACTATTTTAGTAATTAAAATAATGATATTTTATTTTAATTTAATTAATTAAATGGGAAATAGAGAAAGCGTGTGTCAATCGCTAGCCCATGAGGTAAGGATCTTGCACGCCTCGGTAATAAAGAACCCACAGTCCTCAAACTCCTTAGTGTTGTGGAAAGAAAGAGAGTAAGCAAAGGAATGGAGAAAAACATGTTTCCTTTTGGAGAAATCTTGACAACTCTCAAGGCATCCTTCACCTAGTTTGTCAGTAAAAAAGAAGACAATGTCGGCAACAGGAATGAAGGATTTGGGTAATAGTTGGCTCAAACCAAACTGGCTGGTTGTAACACCCCATATTTTGGGTTATTATTTTAATTGATTTATTTGTATTTTAATTTAATTATCATGTGCAATAATAGAATTAATTTGGGTGATGAGGGTGTGTGACATCGAGATGAGAGTGTAAGAGTAATTAGATATTGATAGAAGTGAGCTAGAATTGTTAGGAATTATTTTAGTAATTAAAATAATAATATTTTACTTTAATTTATTTAATTAAATGGAAAATAGAGAGTTTGAAGTTAAATTGAGAATTATGAAAAATAGAGGGGATGAAGGAGTGAGAATGTTAGTTAGTGATAGGTGAGTTCATAATTTTAACTAGATTACCCTAATTATATAAATTAGGATATAACCTAGATTTAGGGGAGAATTGCAAACACTTTGTGAAAACAAACTTGGAGAGAATATAGGCAAGTAGGCTAGGAACAAAGTCGAAGAAGAAGAAGGCTAGAGGGAAAAAGATCAATCAAACCATAATTTTATTGCTTCTAGGATATCCAAGGTAAGGGGGAGAACTACTTCTCTAATGGGTATATGCATGTGGGGTAGAATGAGATGTCCTTAACCTCCTATAGAATTGTGAGGGTTTTTTATTGAATTATTTAAATTGATGATAAATTCCTATTATGTGATGATGTTGGTGACAAAATTCATGTACTATTATGTGTGAAAATTATGTTTATGTTTGCTTTGAACCTCTTCTATTGTTGTGTTGAAAAAGCTTTAAAAACATAACTATTTCCACACCTCACACTTTCAAAACAAATATATTTTCAAACATTTTCTTTTCAAACAAATATTTTCAAAACCAACATTTTGTATATATTCTCAACGATACGAGAATCGTTATAAAGTTTGCCGTACTAAGGAATTTTCAAAATACTTCCAAAACAAACATTTTATATACATTCTCAACGATACGAGAACCATTACAAAATTACCATCTTCAAAAATCTTCGAACATTTTCAAACATACACAAATATAAAACATTTCAAAGTGAGCTAGCAATTAAGAGCTCGTAGATAATTACAGATGAAAAGGGTGCTAACACCTTCCCTTTTCATAACCTATCCCCCAAACTCAAGAAAAATTCTCAAAAGGTCTTTCATGTTCTTTTCACCTTTTCCTTTATTGGATAAAAGAAAAGTTGGTGGAGACTCTTGTTATCCACAACATTTTCGATCAAACGCAAAACACCCAAGTCAGTTCTCCCACTGTATCACATACTTCCAAACAAAATAATAGCCAACAATATTTAGCATTCATTTAATTGTTTTAGCATGTCACGCTTTATCATGTACACTTAACTTAACAACCTATATCAATTGGTCATCTGGGATTAAAAGAAAGTAAAATACAAAAGAAGATCCATAACCAATCACCATTCGTTTATTCCACTCATACACACAGCGACGTCACCCAAGCCCTAACCACCGTGAGTTCTAGCGTCGGCCAACACAGGAGGTGGATGTGGCAGCCTGAGCCTTGGGGAAGAGACCTATCCCACTCGAAATTCTTTGTAGATTCTAATTGTGGCCTCAGAAAATGTTGAGTCCTAATCTAACACCCGATACGAAGCAAGCTTAAGAAGTAAACACAAACAAGATTCAAGCATTATGCTACTATCCTATGCCAAGAAAATTGTTTCGTAATCCCTACAGGGGTAGGTCTTCAGATTCACCCTAAACCATATGGATCTAACATGAATAAATCCTAATATGGTGCAAAAAAGTGATAAATAGGTTTCCATATTACCTAACAGAGGGTGTCCGTTGTACCTTGATTCCGACGAATAATCTTCAGAAAACTATACTGCCTCCTTGCTACAGTCTTGAAGCAGATGAAAAAACCATCACAGAGCCTCGATCTTGGAAGAGAAATCAACCCCAAGCGTGTTCAATAAATTATGAAGACGAAACTGTACCAAGCTATATCATGCCTTAGACGCAAAATAAATGCGTACAAAAAAGAATTCTTGTAGCGAGGAAGAAGAATAATTCAGGATATTCAACAATGGTGCAGGATTGAGTGAGTTCTTCAATGTTGAAGATGATGAAAACCAAGAGAGATAAGCTTAATCTCTAAATTGGCTGCAACCATTTTTTAGAGTTCGTTGAGATTCTGTTTTGAGTATTTTTGATAGAATGAACGAGTGTGGTGAATAATGAATCCCCCTTTGATTTAGAGTGATAAAGAGTTTGTATACTCATGGTTCATGTATGGTTAAAAATCTCAAACATGATTAAGTTGATAAAAAAATGAAGAGAGTGAGGTGAGGGAGTTAATAATTCTTTGTTTTGTTGGAATTATGTTTGGTAAAAATAATTTAGCATAGACATGTTGAAATAAGATGTTCTATCAACTGGAGCAACATATCGAATGGGATGTCCTATGCAGTTTGTTTTGACATCGTGATTTTGTACAGCTGGACTGTTGGATATTTTAGTTTGTTACAGGTGCAGTGTATTATGTAAATACTATGCTATCCTATGTGGCGCACATGTTGAAGATTAAAAAGATTCAAGTTGATTTC